ATTTTTCAGTGATAGTAGTAAATACTTACAGAATGCTCCAGAAGCTTTAAATATGTATTTCCTCATGGCTTCTTTATCACTGAAATAGCAAGACTCTAAACACCTATACATTTTTATATGCAGAATATATAAAGAACTTTCAAAATGTAGTAAGAAAAAAAAACACCAATTAAAAAATGGGCAAAAGATTTGAACACACAGTTCACCAAGTAAGAGATACAGATGGCCAAATAATCATACAAAAAGATGCTCAGTAATGCACTGCATATTAAAATGAGATACTATACATCTGTTAGAATGGCTAAAATGAAACAGTTGACAATACCAAATGCTAGCAAGGATATGGAATGACTGGAGTTCTTATTCATTGCAGATGGGAATGCAAAATGGTACAGTCACTTTGGAAAACAACTTTGCGGTTTCTCTTGGAGTTACATATTTTGCATATGTCCCCACAATCTCCCTCTTAAGAGGAATGAAAACACACATCCACACAAGTGTTTAGAGCAGTTTTATTTGTAATCACCCAAGCTGGAAAGCATTCAATGTCAGTGAGCTGATAAACAGGCTCACGATGGAATACTATGCAGCAGTAAAAATGAGCTAACTCCTCACTTCCCAAAAACTTGCATGGATCTCCAGGGCATTACGCTGGAAGAAGCCAATCTCAAATGGCCATCAGCTGAACGATTCCATTCACACAACGTTTTGGAAAAGGCAAAACTATAGTGAGGACGGGGAATAGATAGCTGTTGCCAGCGGCTGGGCAGAGCAGGGAGGGGAATGACTACAAAACAAAAATGGGAAATCTGGGGTGCTGAAAATAGTCTGATCTTAGTGGTGGTGGTGGTCACACAACAACAGACATATCTGCGTTAAAACGCACAGTAAAACTGCACACCCAAAAAGGCTCTTACTAGATATGAAGGAAATTATGTGTACTCTCCCACTGATAAAGTATTTAGAAAAAGCTCTTCCAAGAGCTTTAATTATGTGTTTTCCTTTCATTGTTACTGTGCCATTGAAATAAAAGGGCCATAGAAGCCAGTAAATATAACTTTTCTTTTCCATTTTAGGGTAAGATGTTTTACTGCCTCTGCCTAAATTAAGGCAGCATGAGAGTCTCACTATAAGCATGTGGTTTTCCTCGTGACTTTATTGGCCACGTAGCCTTGTTTCTGCCCGTGAGAAATCAAGAGCCCGCATCACAGAGAAGGCTTTCGCTGGGCCCCAGGCCCCACCAAAAAGGGCTTGGGCCACTCATGCCGCTTTTTTGAGCTGGTGACTAATATATTCTCCTTCCCAAATGGAGAGAGACATCCGGTGATGTGGGAGTGTCGGTCCAGGGTTTCCTGCATCTGTAGCCTTTGGCACCCATGGGCCTGGCTTCAGGGACACCACCTGACACATCTGTGCCCGCTGCTGGCCCCGCCAGAGCCCCACTGCAGGCACCTACCTCTTTTTGGCGAGGCTTCAGTAGTTTCAAGGTAGTCTGCTCAAAGCACAGCCTTGCGGGGTCAGGAATTCCACAGATAAACCCTTGGAAGCCGTCTCGCCTGGTGCCCTGAAGCAGAGCAATGCCCACAGCCCTTCTCAGTTCTCCAGGACATCTCTAGACCCCCCAGGACCCTCAGCCATCTTTGTCTCCTTTCTCAGGGATGCTCAGGGTCCAGGCATCAAAAGCACAATCAATAAAAAACAGCAACTCACCAACCGAACGTTAGGGCTTTGAAGGCTTTGTCCCGGCTCCAGCCGTGGTTTGTGTGACGCGTTTCCCACAGTCCCGCAGAGCGGACAGCCAAGGGGAGACAGGTGCCACCAGAGACACTGCAGAAGTCCACCTCTCCCACCAGAGACAGAGCCTCTGCCCAAGTGCACCCTTTTGCCCAGCACCTGACCACATGGAGTTTGCCCATTGAATCAACATGAACAGCAAACAACATCCTTCATTTATGAGACAGGTTCCTCTACCCAAAGTATCTATCTCATCAGTCTCCTCGATTCTACAAATACAGTCAATTTTCAGTGATTGCCAGGGGGGGGGGGGGCGCCGCAGTGCTGTGCCACCGGTTCCCCAACCATGTGTCCTTGGTTTTGGGAGAAATTTCAATGCTTAGACATGAGCGTGGTGCCTCTCGGTTGCTGGAACCCACCGTGCTCTGCATTGCCAGGGAAGGGGGCACTTAGCAGAGGCCCCTCCACTGCTCCTGGGCACCTCTTCCCTGCACCATTTTCTTCTGAACTGCACCTGTGCTAGACAGGTGGCAAAAAGGGCCCCACCCTTTCCCTCCTGTGCCCACCCCCTGTCCCAATGTCACTGTGCAACTTTTCCCATCAAGAGGTGGGGCTCTGGCTCTGACCAGTGTGGCTCAGCGGGTGGTTGTCATCTTGCAAAGTGAAAGGTCATTAGGTCAATTCCTAGCTGGGGCAGATGCCTAGCTTGTGGGTTCGGCTGAGGCAGCTGATCGATGTTTCTCTTTCACATCAATGTTTCTCTGCCTCTCTTCCTCCCTCCCTTCCCCTCTCTCTAAAGAGGTGGGGCTCTGAGTCCCCACCCCTTGAATCCAGGCTGCCCTTGGGCTGCCCAATCTTACTTTGGCCCAGAGAATGTGGCAGAGGGACGAGGTGTCAGTCCTAGCTCATCGCTAGGACGATGAGCCTAGGCCTCAAAACCCTAGCACGTTTTGCTTGCTCTCTTGGCGCCCTGCCACCATGGTCTGTGCAAGAACAGGCTAGTCTGCTGGGAGGACAAAGGTCCACGTGGAGAGGACTCAGTCCGGCCCGGCCAGCCCCCAGCCAGCCTGCAGTCTGCACAGGAGAGCAAGCCCACTGGGCTGACCCAGGCCTGAGGAAGCAACCAAGCCGAGCCAATCCAGACCTGTGAAGTGAATAAACAGCAACATTTTAAGCCATCACGTTTCCAATGGTTTATTTCACAGCAAGAGCCCTTTCTCCTGCACCGCATCAGAAGGGTCTAGTACAGGACATTCAAATTGCTCTTTGCACTTACAGGTCAAGAAACAAATGGACATTTCCTTCTTCTGGTGGTTGAGTTAAACATGGGTAGGAACTATTGGGTAGGATTCCATTTCCCTTTCAACTCTATGTTTTAAAAAAAATTTCTTATGAGATCAACAGCAGATATGTCACCAACACAAGCAAGCCACGTTCCGTCCCAACTCTGGTGTCCAGGGCTCCACCAGTGAGACCGGATACAACTGACAATTGACACCACAGTGCATCACAGACACGAGACGGCTCGCGGTTTTCCAAAGGGCCCTATCTAAGCAACCCACGAAACACAGTCTTTCACCATCAAACCTTCTTGATCGCATCCCCCCAAAAAAGCTCCATCGTTGTCTTCGTGTCATTCTGTTTCCATTGGCCACACGCTCCTCTGTGGCACACACATCCAGACCTGTGACTGCTGTCTGTGTCCTGTCACTCAGAGTCTCTGGGTCAGTACGGAATGAGTAGGGCCGGTGTGGGAAGAAGACAACTACTGCCTTTTCTGGAAGCAGATGATGTGCCGGGCACCCTCTTTGTAAGGAGCTCATCTTTGGTTATCTCCGGGCAGGGAGCGTGCCAAAAATGACCACGAGTGCCGTTTACAGGAAGGAGACTGAAAGCACAGACACACACGTAAAGCCGGATCAGCGAGGTGACGACAGCCTCCGTGCAAACTCGGGGTTTCAGCTCAGCATTCTGCTGCGTGCACCCGACTCTGTTTCAGACGTCCCACCTCAAAAGGTATGATGGCTTCTTCCATTCTTATAACATCTCTTTGCATAATAAATGTGAACCAAAAGGGCAGGGCAGACAGTAAATTCTCACTGACTGATCACCCTGGCAATGCTGTTATTTCTGGCCATTTTTTTAATGTCAGCTAAGGACCCCCATAAATTATGAAGCCACCCTCCGAGTCCCCGTTAAAACACGGTGACTGATGGCTACTACTGCAGCGTGTCCAGGAGAATGCAACCCGTCGGGACAAACTGGGGATCGATGGCCACTCCCCTCGGCTGGGCATTTTTGGCCAGTGGCGGGGGCGGGGGGACAGTGAGCACCGTTAGCACCCTGAAAACCTACCAGGCCTGCAAAATTAATTTTAGGACCTGTAACTTTTCTCTAGTATTTGAGGAGAACAAAGGCTCACCAACCACAACAGAGGGAACGACCCAGGTAACTTCTCTCTGCCTGGGAGACTCACTGTGTGTCCCCTCACGAGAGGCCTGGCGCTCAGAGAAAAGCACTCACGTGACAAATTTTCTTCAGTCCACAACAGGAGGATTTGGTCTTTAAGTTAAATGCATTGAAGAGAGTGGAATGTTTTCTACTTCTACGAGGCTAAATGGCAGGAGCATGATTATTTAGGAGGAAGACGGGGCCTGCGGCCTAAACTCATGTAGGCTGCTCTCATGCGGAGAAAGAAAATGCATATTAACGTTTCAGCTTTGTTCTTTCTCTCTTGAACTTCCCTTTTTTTTTGACTTGAACTCCTTCTTTTCCCTCTGCGTGCAGGCCGTCCACAAGCCCTGTTCATTTCCCACACCTCCCCCAGGGACATCAGGAGTTCGAACGACACATGGCAGCCATGAGCTTTTCCTTTACTGAAGGGCCCGGCTGTCTCTGCTGGCTGGCAAATCCGCCCGCCCCGGGGATGACCATTAGGGGGCAGTGCAGGGGAGGGGGACACACGCCACCACTCAGCTCCGCCCAAGGACGCACAGCAGCATAAAAACATTCAGAGGGGGAAACGGGGTTTTCCTCTTTCCTTCTTTTAGAAAAATGGGGACACAGAAAGTCTCTCCACTTGTCCCCGAGCCTCCCTGCGGGCTTCACATTTCTAGCCTTTTCCCCGAAGTGCTTACACACCGACCTCCTCCACCCCTTCAGCCATTACCTATCTGCTCGTGAGAAGGGGCTGCAACAGATGATATGTAAAAACCATCACCCTTGGGATAATTCACGAAAAACCCTTAAATGGTAAAAAAAAAAAAAAAAAAAAAAGTGTGTGTGTGTGTGTGTGTAGAGCACGGAAAATGTTAGGTGGGGAAGTGAAATGGGCACACGCAGGAGGGAACACAGCCCCCCACGGCCCCCGAGAGAACAGGACCACCCCACAGCCAGGTGTCGGGAGGTAGACCACCACTGGGGAACCGGTCGTGGGAGGTGGGAGGGAGAAAAACCGAACAAGGGGCCAAGACTGGAGCAACCCAGTGGAGTAGCGTGGACCTGAGGCATTAGCCGATATGAGACTGGATGTCAGAGTGGCGCTGACATTTACGCTTTTAAAAAGCCCACAGTTCTACAGAGCTCGGTAGGTGGAGACTGCCCGCCAGTAGAGGCAGATGTACCGAATGGAGCAGCGTGAGGGCGCCGATCTGGGCCCCGTCCAGGTGCAGGTGCTCACGGCCCACGTGGCCTCACTGCCAGGTGGGTACGTGGCCCCCGGTGCATGGGCGTGGACCGTGGGCTGATGGCCAGGAAGTCAAGGCTGGTCCGGTAGCATCCTGGATCCGAGGGCCACAGAGAGCCATGGGGGGGGCGGGGTCCTGGGCGCTCAGCACTGTGCCCCGGGCACACAGGCCTCGGCCTTGCCCTGCTCCTGCACCGGCCGCGAGGCCTTGTCCGGCTCCGGAATGCCGCAGGTGTCTGGGAAGCGGGGCCCGAGCCCCGCGAAGGAGTCACAGCAGGGTGAGCTCTCCTCTTGCACCGGGTGGCCCACTGGCTCCCCTGGGCCGCCGGACCCTGTTGGGCCCTCCTGGGAGTTCTGACTGACGTAGACCACGATGATGTCGCCCTTGAAATTCATCACCTGCCCACTGGAAATAAACGTGGAGTTACTGTTTCCAGTCACATTCCCTATGGGGGGAGAGGAAGAGAGAACACACAGAAGGTGAGTCATCCACTCCTGGTGAGAACTGGGTCTTGTGAGATGGAAGTTTCCCATGGACTGGAGGCGCGAGGGGTCCGGCACACCCAGGGGCTCTTCCCTCGGTCCTCTTCCCAGGCCTGGCTGGGGCTCGGCCAGAAAAGAAGGGTGGGAGAGAGAAGACAAGAGATCAAGAGAGAAGAGAGGGGAGAAGACAAGAGGAGACCAGCCAGGTGATGGGCCCTGCTCAGATTTTGTCATTGGCCACATGAGACTCTAGGAGCACCCAGGACTGTAGAGTCACAGAGAAGATGCTCTGAGCGTATGCCCACGTGTGACCCATGGGCAGGACAGCCAATGGCCCAGCTGTGGTCCTACGTATCAGGACGGGGGGTAGAGGCTGGAAGGAAGGGTGTGGCCTGTCAGGACCCTGTGGCCCCCCTCCGCCCAGCCTCCTCTCGGACCAATCTCACACCTGAGGCCTCTGTCACCCTGGGTGCCTTTAGGACTCCCACCTTCCCAGGAGGTCCCTAAAAGCTCAGCCCTGCCTCGAGGGGGCACACCTGGGCTCGGTGTTTAGCAAAGGTTAACCAATTTCCTTCCTTAACATTACTTGTTTCAACTCTGAAAGGAGAGAGAGAGGGAGGGAGGAGGGAGAGATTCAGAAGACTAAAATGGAAAAAAAAAATCAATCCTATAAATCACTCTTTCCTTCTGAACCCCAAGGAGTGTTCTGTCCCCAGGGGTTTTCTATCATCGCTTCTCCGTGGGTGACTGGACTTAACCAGTATTCAATTAGTTGGAAAACAAATAGGAAGTTCAGCAAATGCTAGGAAACCTGCTACCTCTAATTATTCTTCTATTTTATAGACTGGTGCTGGACAACTGTCCCACAGGGAAACTGGAAATAAAGGCCACAGACCAAGCAGATGCAGAAGTACCCCCAACACTCAGGATCACGAACAGAACCTTTGTCTGGCCAGGGGGCGGACATCAGTGTGGCTCCCGGCCACAAACGTCCTCATCCTTGGTCTGCTCTCTTGTGACAAAGCTTACTAATAATTTACACGAATAAAACTGTCCCTGTCACCACTCCGCATGAAGAGCTCCTCTCCAGACTTGGAAGACATGTCTTGGATGGTCTAAAACACAGACGGCATACAGAATATTCCTTTGGGAAGCCTTCGCTTCACCCGGAGGATTACCTGCGGAGAAGTCGGGGCTGACGCAGAGTCGCCCAGGAAAACGCAGGGATTCCAAAGGTGGGCAACACATTGAAAGTCACCCGGGAAGATGTGTGACTCACCTATTGCTTCCTGAGGTAGTTGTATGGGGTATATTCCAAGATGGGTAGTGGGGGGACTTATTTGCCTAATAACCCCCCAAGCCACACGGGGGGAGGCCAGTGAGTATTTCCTTTCACCAACCAGCCAGATGGAACCACGCTTTCCATTCCCTCTACAACAGACCGACCGGGCTCATGACATACGGTGAACTCTAAGCTGGGGTATGCTCTCTAGCATGTCTATGCCTTTCTGCTCCCACAAGTTACCACGTTAGTTCTCAAGTATGTTTTCACCAGTTGAACTCATGAGACAGTCCAATGAAATGTGAATCACTCAACACAAAACAAAAGAATACATCCACAAACTGCTGAACTGGTGTGGGGGTGTGGGCAAGGCAAGCGCTGAAAAAAGAAAACACAACAAGAAACATTAAAATCCCAGAACTTTGCAGGCCAGTTTGTTCTGTAAATGCCTGTAACTTCTCTTTCCACAATAAGAAGCAGAAACTGGGAGTTAAGGAGGCATGGTTATGGGGATAAAGGCTCCAGAAGCTATAATCACCCAATACATATGGCCCTATACTAGTACGTTCTAAGTTCCTAATTTAAAAAGATGGTTAAGACAGGAACTTATAAATGACTTTTCAAGTAACCCAGAAACTCCTGCCCAGGCCTGTGACAGGGGCTTCTGGAGCAGAGGCAGACTGAGTGGGTAACACTGAAGACCCCCTGGTTCAGGGATCACTAGTGAGTTAACAGAGGACACAAAATGAGAAACCAAAAACATGCATGTGCCATAGACATTCTAGTCTCAGTGAAAATCTACCAGGTTTGTGTAACGAGACCAGTAATTTTCAGTTGCTTAGACATACGTATTTCACAGTTCGGCTCCTCTAGTTTTTCATTATGAAGATGCCCTTGACCGCTGGCTCTGCTGTTCTCCAGCCTTAGCCACTGTGTGGTTGACCTTCGTTAATCTCATCTCTTCTTCGTCCTCTTCCCACTGAGATTTATCCGTTGATGTCTCGCTGCCTGTGAGTTCGCCATCATTCGTAACTTTACTTTCCAACAGGTCACCACCGCAAATCCACTGTTGTTGACCTTCCTGGTCGGCATCTTCAGTGTGTCTGGACTCAGGTAAAAACTCCTGTTTTTACCACGTTTTTATCGTCTTGCATATTGAGATTCTGTGTTACATTTTTCACCATAAGAATGTCATGCCAGGCCACTGCCTCCTGGCAAACAGTATCTTTGGTACATCCTACAGGCTGGCTCTATGCTCTTGTTTTCTTCCCCCCACCCCCAATGGAACTCAACCCTTTGCCTTAGGGATGTATTTGAACATTTCAGAATCCTTTGATCCACAGATTGGATCAAGAATATTATCCTTGGGTGGGGCATGGGGGGGAAAAGGATAAAAACAAGGCCTCCAACATTCCTGATGATTAGGATGTAAAGAAAATTTACCTAGAAAGAGTATGAGCTTCTCAAATAATCTCATCAAGTCCAAGGCCATTCCATCCAGCTGACTTTTTATGAGAGTAGTAAACCGGTACAGACCGGACTTCTTTTAAACGCTCCGATTTGCTAGTAACCCTAAGTGGCAGCAGAGTCACCCCCGTGGGCGAGCGAGCTGTGTAGGCACACAGGGCCTTGCACCAGAAGGGCCCCGCACTTGCTCTAATATGCTGTGTTCATCTGGAAATTCTTACTAACTCCGCACGAGGGGCCTGCTGTTTTCAGTTTTCACCGGGCTCTGGGAAGTAGGTGGCCTGGCCTGACGGCAGGCAGCTCTTAGGAGTATCGCTCTGGGCTTCCCCCTGCTGAAGCTCTGGGTTAGCGTCAGTCCTTTCGGGGGGAACGTCTTCTAATGCGGACAGGTTTCAACATTGCAGAAGTGCCAGCCAACCTGATGTTCTCCTCTGATAAAGAGCCATTCAGAAGAACGCCGAGCTGCAGGGGCTATCCACCCGTGTCCTTAAAACACAGATCCTATGACATGTGTCCCTGATGTTCGAGCCACCTGTCATTTGCCGTAAAACTGTCAACACCAAGTTTCTGATGGAGAACTAAGGCCTGAAAAAAGGTCTACTGAGTGTACCGATTACACTTTTAATTCTTTGCCTACGATGTCTACTTTTGGGTTTTTTTTTCAAGTGGAATGAGAACTAAGCTGCGGCCAAGCAGTGTAAATACAGGGTCCTCCAAGAGTTTCATTCCCTCAAACCTTCATGTCGTCTCATGCTCTTCAACCCCAGTAGCAGAGATGGTTAGAGACTCCTTTTTGAATTGTCCTGAAGTATTTAACAATTTTCAGGGAACCAATTTGCATGCCTGCCCCCCTCACTTTTTACCAGTGGGTGTGACGGGGAAGGCTTTGTGTTAGCACAGGCTCAGCTCACACGCTCAGGACTGGGGTTTAGTAAGCATGGCCGCTCACCAGGCGGGAGCAGAAGGGTCTGGGCATTCCTGGGTGACCCCTTCAGTGTGAGTACCCAGGGTGCCTGCCGTGGGCTTTGGTCAGCTTGCTTACAGAGGGCAAGGAGAGTGTGGACCCACCCACGTTCTTCTGAACTAGTAATAACAGTGGCAGAAACACCACTGCGACCCAGGACTCACCGAGCACCTCCTTCAGGCCGGGCTGGCTGATTCGTGTGCAAGGAACCTAATGACATCAGTGTCGCCCCGGTGCTGGGGTCCCCGGAGAGCAGAAGGTGCAGGCCTGGTGATCAAAGGGCTGGAAGATTTGGTGGTTGGCTGAGTACAGGGTGGTGAGGTGGGGCAGGGGACCGAGGAGGCGCAGCAGTCCCAAAGCACTTCGGTCTCGTCCCTACTCGGTCCCCACTGGCCGTGGAATGTGGGACAAACCACCTCCCCACTCTCTGGGCCTCCGTCTGCTCCTCTCGGAAATGAGTGTCAATCTTGGAGCCCTGCTAGCCCGGCAGGGCGCGGGCCCACGAGAAGGAATCCGATGAAGGTTAAATGGAGAAATAAATGGCCGTGTGGACACCTGGCAGGACAGCTTGAGGGTCAAATGAGATGATGGATTTTTAAAGTACTTGGGAAACAGCAAAGAACTAGTCCCAGGTGTGACGGCACTAATTGCTGCCCCCAGACAGCATTGGTGCCCTTGCACTCCCGAGGAGGCCGAGGTGTGGGAGAGGGACTGAGCCGTAACATTCTCTTTCCATCCCGCCTTGTTTGGGGCTCTGGATACGTGTTGAAGGCCGAAAGGGCACTTTCCTCTAGAAATCTAACCAACCTTTACTTTCTTGGCAGGAACAATTCATCCTTCTGTCTCTGGTTTGAACACTCGTCTATATAATTCTGCACCAAAGCCCACGATCTCGTGTCTTGTCGGCCAATCTGCTGTGAGTTGAATGTGGCTCGGGGGTAGGTCGGTTTAGAATGAGTGGTCACACCCTGATCCTGTGATAACCCGGTCCTGAGTTGTCCTTGCTTACAAGAAATAATGTCTTAAAATGTGCCACCCACCTTTCAGAAAAGAAGGATTTTACAGGGTTATGCAAGCTGCCCCCAGAAGGCAATACCCTGGGTGGCCCGTCATTTAGTCACCATGCCAGCAAGCTGTGTGACCAGGTAGACAGGTGGGTGCTGCAGGGCCTGGGGTTTCTGCAGTTTACACAGGGCCCCAAGGGAACCCCAGAATGTCCTGTTAGGGGGGACTCCTCCCTTGCTGGTAGC